TTAAGAGATTATCCTAATGAACAGGACAAACAAATTTTGTTTAATGGTTTTAAATTTGGATTTAGTTTGAATTATCATGGACCAAGATTTCCATTTGAATCAAAAAATTTAAAATCTGTTTTGTCAAATCCTGTTGGAGCTAGATTTAAGATTGAATCTGAAATATCATTAGGAAGAATAGCAGGTCCTTTTTGTAAACGACCAATATCTAATCTTAGATGTTCTCCTATTGGGTTAGTTCCTAAAAACACTGGGGGACTTCGTCTAATTACCCATTTATCATATCCGCCATTGAGCAGTGTTAACGATTTCATTGATGAAAGGTTTACCGCGGTTAAATATTCTTCATTTGATAATGCTGTTAATATGGTTAAGAAACTACGAAAAGGTGCTAAATTAGCCAAAATGGACATTAAGTCAGCATTTAGATTACTTACGGTTTATCCAGGAGATTTTGATTTACTTGGTTTTAAAATTGAAGATGAATACTACATAGACAAGACAATGGCAATGGGCTGCTCAATTTCATGTGCTGTTTTCGAAAAGTTTTCAACCTTTTTGCATTGGGTTTTAAAAAGCAAGTCTGGTTCAAATAATATAGACCACTATTTGGATGATTTTTTATTTGGTGGCAAATCAGATTCTGATGAATGTGAACAACTGATGTTTCAGTATGATGAAATTTGCAAAAATTTAGGAGTCCCACTTGCAAATGAAAAAACTGAAGGTCCAACTACACTGATTGAATATCTGGGTCTTACAATTGATACGGTAAATATGCTTGTTAAAATTCCACATAAAAAGGTTGAAGAACTTTTAGACAGAATTATTAAGTTGTCAGCCATGAAAAAAGTAACGTTAAAAGAATTGCAGTCAATATGTGGTTCATTAGCTTTCTGCACAAAGGCTCTACCTGCTGGAAGAGCGTTTAGTTGTCGTTTGTATTCAACAATGGGTAAAGTTTCAAAACCGTTTATTAGGGTGACATCAGGCATGAAAAATGATTTATTAATGTGGAAATTATTTTTGGAACAGTTTAATGGGATTTCGTATATAAATGATATAGGATGGATATCAATTTTGATCTTGAACTATATACAGATAGTGCTGGTGGATTAGGTAAAGGGTGTGCAGCTTATCTTAATGGTAAATGGACTTTTCTCGAGTGGCCTAACGAATGGAATAGTTCAGAAATATTTAAAGATATAACATACCTTGAAATCATTCCAATAGCACTTGCAATATTTTTGTGGTTTGATCAATTTTACAAGAAAAACATACTTTTTCACATTGATAATTTGGCAGTAGTGAATATTTTAAACAAAAAGTCAAGCAAATCTGAACGAGTTATGTCCATTTTGAGATTAATTGTTTACTGTTCACTTATTGGTAATTTTCAGTTTAAAGCTGTTCACATTTTGTCAAAGGACAATGCAATTGCTGATGCATTATCTCGTGCAAATTTTCAGAAATTTCGACGTCTACCACCACTAGCCAACGATCTTCCACATCCAATTCCAGTGGAGTTCTGGAACCTTTTAAAGACGAAGTGAATAAACTTTTACAGCACTCTGTTTCTTCAAATACAATGAATGTGTATGAAAATGCAATCTGTTCATTTAATAAATTTCGGACCAGTTTTCAAATAGAGGAAAGTTGGCCACCGCCTGTTGATCACATAATTAATTATGTTGCATATCTTTCAAAAAATGGTTATTCCTACACCACTGCAAACACATATCTATCAGGAATTAATCATAAGTTGAAAATTAATAATTGGAATGATTATAGCAAATCATTCATTTTGGAAAAAATGTTAAAAGGTATGCAGCGTTTGGGTAAAAGAGTTGATTCAAGAAAACCTATTACTGTTGATGTATTGAAACGGCTTATATTAATTCTTCACCATGTTTGTAAGTCAATTTATGAGACAAAACTGTTTAGGGCAGCATTTGCTTTAGCCTTTTTTGGATTTATGAGAATTGGAGAAATCACATATGTTAACAAAAATGCTGATAATCATGTTTTAAAAATATCAGATATTAAATTTAATGATATTGATTCTGAAGTTTTTGTTACTATAATGTCTTCAAAGACGGATCAAATTGGTTGTTCAACAACTTTAATATTGTCTTCAAATGATAATGATAACGAACTGTGTGTTGTCAAAATGTTAAAAGATTACTTACAGTTACGTCCAGATTCTCAAGGCCAACTTTTTTGTCATATTAATCACAATAAATTGACTCGTTTTCAGTTTTTAGCTGTTTTAAGGTCTGCTTTGAATTTTATTAGTTTGAATCCTGAGGAGTTTAATACGCATTCATTCCGAATAGGGGCTGCAACTACTGCAGCCTTGGAAGGCAAAACGGATGAAGAAATACAAACCCTGGGGAGATGGAATTCTAATTCTTTTAAATCATATATAAGGCTAAGTCGTTTGGTAAATTAAATAATTTTAATTGTTTTCAGGCATTTTTGTGGTTTGGATTATTGGATCTTCCTTGGTTGCCAAAGCCTCATCACATAGTCAAATAAGACCTTTGGGAAATGATTTGGGGTTGCATAAGTTAGGCTACAAGTTGATGTGGGCAGGAATGTCCGGTATGTCAGTATATAACGTTGTACCAATAGTAGAGAATTTGATACATTGTTGCGGTTTACCAGATGCTGTTTTGCTTCACTGTGGTGGCAATGATATTGGACTTGTTAACTGTGCCAAACTTTTATTTGATATTAAATTTATGCTAGATATAGTTGCACGTATGGTGAATGGAGGTAAAATTATTTTTTCAAGTATTTTACCAAGGTTGAAATGGAGATATTCAAAAGATTTGAAAGCAATGGATGCAACCAGGAAACGTATAAATAGGGGGGTTAAATCACATTTAAATAAAACTGGGGGTTACACTATAACTCATTCTGATTTTGAAGACAAACATCAATCTTTATTTAGTCATGATGGCGTCCATTTGTCGTTTATTGGCAATGATATATTTTTGAATTCATTTCAAACTGCTTTAGAACAATTTTACTATATACCAAATAATTCTGTTTATCCGATGCATGAATGATGTTGTTTGTTTATTTTTGTTGTATGTTAAAAAGAATAACAACTAGTTGATTATATTTTCATTGAATTTATGCTGCTTATTAAATTGTCATGGCGGATTAGCATTTGATTGAGAGTTCACTAAAATGCCAATTTTGGCAGTGATTTATTCAAATATCGTTCATTAAGCTGTTATGGATCTGCCCAGCAGCTAGAAATTGTTATGCATTTACTGTTGGTTTCCCTTCAGTGACCAATTGTCATCAAGTTTTAACTTGTTGGCCAGTTTGTTGATGTTGGTTGTTTGTTGGTTTATACTGTTGAATATTGTTGAATAAATGCCATGACAAATAATCAGCCAAATTTCTAATTTCAATTGTTTGTTTGTTGTTTATATTATTCTTGCGAAGGAATGAAACAAAACAAATCTGCAGTTGTATATTCATTGCGCACATTGAATATGCAATAATAAAATTTAATGATCTAATAATTAAATTGATTTATTGCATTAACAATACATTTATTTGTTTATTGTTTTTCAAATGTACGTCAGTCCATTATTTACGTTTTGCCATTTAAATACTTACAACCATATATTTAAACGTACGAAAGAATATGCTTTGAAGCGCCTCGTGGACTTTGGTCATATATAAACACGTGTTCCCGCTAAATTTTCATTCCACGAGTATTTTTCAACAAGATTGCACAACCCACCCTCCCTCCCTTTAACAAACAAAATTGCTGCTGTTTTTAGTTTATTTTTCAGATTACATGGTGAACAGATCCAAATGTATTGAATGTTCCAATTAGATTGTCATGTATCATCAAAATTGTCAGACGTTTCAATATTCATCGGCAGATCCAATGAAACCTGAATATTCAAGGAATTTGCAGGAATAATTAAAAAGAAAATATCTATCGTCATGGCATTCCGTTTTATATGGAAAGTGTGTTGGATGTCATCATCAACATGATTCAACTGGCAGTGATTTATTCAAATATCGTTCATTAAGCTGTTATGGATCTGCCCCCCAGCAGCTAGAAATTGTTATGCATTTACTGTTGGTTTCCCTTCAGTGACCAATTGTCATCAAGTTTTAACTTGTTGGCCAGTTTGTTGATGTTGGTTGTTTGTTGGTTTATACTGTTGAATATTGTTGAATAAATGCCATGACAAATAATCAGCCAAATTTCAAATTTCAATTGTTTGTTTGTTGTTTATATTATTCTTGCGAAGGAATGAAACAAAACAAATCTGCAGTTGTATATTCATTGCGCACATTGAATATGCAATAAACAAATCCCAATACACTACAGATTACCTAAGGTCACCTTTATTAAACCAGTCTTCATACACAACAGATTATCTGAGGTAACCTTTATTAATCCAGTCTTTATAGACAGATTACCTGAGGTCACGTTTATTAAACAAATCTTAATACACAGATTACCTAAGGTCACCTTTATTAAACCAGTCTACATTCACAACAGACTAGCTGAGGTCACCTTTATTAAACAAATCTCAATACGCTACAGATTACTTGAGGTCACCTTTTTTAACCACTCTTCATACACACATATTACCTGAGGTCACCTTAATTAAACCAGTCTGCATACACAGATAACCTGTGGTCATCGTTATTAAACGAGTCTTTATAGACAGATTACCTGAGGTCACTTTTATAAAACAAATCTGAATACACTGTAGTGTATAAAGACTGGTTGAATGAAGGTGAAATCAGGTAATCTGTAGTGTAGGAAGACTGGTTTAATAAAGCCCTTATGTAATCTGTTGTAAAATATTACAGGATAATTATATACCCTAGCATTGTATCTATTTTTCTTTTATTACAGAGGGTACCTGAGGTCACACCCCTAAAAAAACGAATATAACCCATTGAACTCAAATTAACTCAGTTCACCTTAAAAATACATTACACAAACAATACAACGTCCATGAATCCTACATTTTAAAATGAAGAAATTAATTTATTACAGAATAATTATATACCCTAGCATTGTATCTGTTATTCATTCATTACAGGGGGTACCTGAGGTCACCCCCCCCCCCCCCCCAAAAAAAAAAAACCAATAAATATTATCATTTAACTCAAGTTATCTTAACAAATATATGACATAAACTATGCAATGTCCATCATGTCCATGAAGTCCTACATTCAGAATGAAGAAATTAGTTTATTGCAGCATAATTATATACCATAGCATAGTATTTACTATTCTTTAATTACGGGGGTTACCTGATATCACCCCAAAAACCCACAAAAATGCAACCACTTCATCTCCAATAAACTCAGTTCACCTTAACAAATACATAACATAAACAATACAACGTCCATGAAGTCCTACATTCAAAATGAAGAAATTAGTTTATTACAGCATAATTATATACCATAGCTTAGTATCTATTATTCATTCATTACATGGGGTACCTGAGGTCACCCCCCAAAAAAGCCGAATAAAACCCGTTTTACTGAAATTAACTCAGTTCACCTTAAAAAATACATTACACAAACAATATAACTTCCATGAAGTCCTACGTTTCAAAATGAGGAAAATAATTTATTACAGAATAATTATATACCCTAGCATTGTATCTATTATTATTTCATTACAAGGGTACCTGAGGAAACCCCCAAAAATCAAGAAATATAACCCATTTAACTCAAGTTATCTTAACAAATATATTACATAAACTATACAATGTCCATCATGTCCATGAAGTCCTACATTCAGAATGAAGAAATTAGTTTATTGCAGCATAATTATATACCATAGCATAGTATCTATTATTCATTCATTACATGGGGTACCTGAGGTCACCCCCCAAAAAAGCCGAATAAAACCCATTTTACTCAAATTAACTCAGTTCACCTTAAAAAATACATTACACAAACAATATAACTTCCATGAAGTCCTACATTTCAAAATGAGGAAAATAATTTATTACAGAATAATTATATACCCTAGCATTGTATCTATTATTATTTCATTACAAGGGTACCTGAGGTAACCCCCAAAAATCAAGAAATATAACCCATTTAACTCAAGTTATCTTAACAAATATATTACATAAACTATGCAATGTCCATCATGTCCATGAAGTCCTACATTCAGAAGTAAGAAATTAGTTTATTGCAGCATAATTATATACCATAGCCTAGTATTTACTATTCTTTAATTACGGGGGTTACCTGAGGTCACCCCAAAAACCCACAAAATGCAACCACTTCATCTCCAATAAACTCAGTTCACCTTAACAAATACATAACATAAACAATACAACGTCCATGAAGTTCTACATTTAGAATGAAGAGATTATTTAATTACAGCATAATTATATACCCAAGCATTGTATCAATTTTGCTCTTTGGTATTAAGTCACATAACAATTTGGTATTAAGATTGATCCAAATAGAGAACTATATTTTCGTGCGAATTAATCGATGACCAATTTCCCCGGATACCAGAGGGCACCGGATACCTCAGGGCCTACATCAGCGGACCTTTCTTCCACCTGCACAACTTTACGGAAATATCAGAGTGATTATAAACAAGGACTCTGTGACGGGCAACTTATAATATCCGTGTTTTAAAGATTTTAATGATATCAAGCCAGTCCAGTTCAAACTATTATCACGTGGTACAATTCTCATTTACATATTATGAATATTAATTAGCAAAAGTACTACTAATTTCTGGCTATGATCTCAACCCTCCCCCTATACCTCTAGCCAATGTAGAATAAACAAACACAAAGCAATACGCACAGTAAAAATCAGTTTGAAAGAAGTCCGAGTCCAATGTCAGAATAGGTAACAAAAGAAACTAAGAAAAATGACAATGATGCATAAATTAACAAAGGACTACTAGCAGTTACAGACCCCAAAAAATACATTCAAACGGACGCAAAAAAAAAAAACCTTGAAAAATCCTACAAAAAACAAAAGAATATTGCGCACAAAAAAAAATCGAAAGAAATACAACAAACAAAAAACCTTTCAAAAATCATACAAAAACAAAACACATGAAAAAACAAAATATAACAAACAAAAGGGTGTAATTATATAATAGCCATGTAATTGCCATGTTTCTTTTTTTCTTCATGGATCAGTAATCTTTAATCTGTAATCGAATTTCTGCCAATCAAGGCACATCTCCAATCACTCGGAGGAAAATGTCAATACACAATAACAATATACTACACAGCTGTCATCACTTGATATATAGAGAATATCATATGATTTTTTTCAATATCACATCCGTATCAACCCGAAACACCAATATAATCCAACAGCTCTGCTCGAGGGATTATATTGGTTGAGGGTTGATACGGTATGTGATATTGAAAAGCCATATCAAATACACTTTATTATATACATATACCTCACGTAGATGTTTTTTGTGACACGACGTCATACAGATAAGGAGGTTTGAAATGACGTCATACAGATTATAGGTTTGACATGACGTCATACAGATTAGGGGTTTGATAAAGCCTGCAACAGTGACTGCAATCGATGACGTGACTTCATACAGATTAAAGGTGTGATAAAGCCTTTGCAACCGTGCTGATATCGATATCATCACGGGTGGCTGATACAGCACGCTTGCCAATGATTGTATTACACATACAATTTATCTGTATTTACTACTAAGTATATGATAAATATAACTATAATAATAAAAGTTTCTACCACCACAAGCTTAAGGATGAATACACTCCCGAATATATTTTGAATAATGTTAAATTGTTTCTACTGCTTAAGTTATCAAGATTAGCTAATATAGCATAGCGTTTATTATGTAAATTATATAGCAACTGTCTACACAGGGGTTCTAAGATATTACTGGTTTCCTCAAAAGCATTTCTGTTTACATCAATGTCCACATAACAGAATGGGTTGATAATTAACTGGAGAAGATCAGCTGGAAGGGATGTTGTATCTTTAGCTAGAATCAAACTTCTTAGTAATGTCTAAAGTTTTTAATATAAGTGGTTTTCCTGCTTCTTCTAATTCTTCACATAACAGGATAAAGTGTCCAACTGTTTCAACCGCTTTATTACATAATTTATAAATTGAACTGATATATTTCTTAGAAAAAGGAAGCATATGGGCTTGTAGATATAGTTCCCAGTTGCAATTTTAAGACGTGAAGGAATTTTTCTGATATCTTTTAGATTTGCATTGACCGAAATTGCTAAAGGATGTACAGGTCCAATGTTATATTTATGATCCATGAATTTTAGTGTTGAATATCCTTTTGATTCATTAATATTTGTTTACGTCCAATAGGCATACTTTATTGGATTTAACTAACTTTTTCCATTGAAATTTTGATAAAGGGCTGTTCAGATAAACATAAGTCTGTAATTCCATATTTAAAACATATTTCCTTAATTTCAATAAACCAACTATGGCTGTTGTGAGATTTTATCTGTAGCTGTCTTTCAGCTAGCCGCCATTTAATTGGTTCACACTTAGCTCTTGATATATTTCCAAATAGATTAATAGCTTTAATATGGATTTCAGCTTCAATAGGAAGTAAACCGGGCAAAGTATAAACTGTTGAGTCAGCTACATTAGATTTAAAGACAAAAGGAGAAGGTCCGGTAAGGGCTAGTTTTGGCCTAATATTCAAAGTACATCTAATGAAAGATTTTTGACATTTTTTAAACACTTAAGTGTCTACTTCAGTCGATTCAATTAGTGTATGTAAAAGATTTGGACTGATTTGGTCATTAAAGACGCTCAAATGGAGGCTTAAATATGAAAAATCTATCAAATATGCCATAAAACGTCACTTTGCAGTTGGTTATTGTCTAGAATGTAAGTGGCCGCATTCGTGATCAGAATCAACCTTTATATATGTTATGTATTATCATCAAATACAACATATATTTAAATATTAAGACTGAACACAAATGCGGCCACTTCCATTTTAGACAAAAACCGCCTTAAAATTAGCACAAATGCTAAAATTGTGAAGATTTAAGTAATATTGCATGAATGTATGATGCTATTACCTGATGAATGTGCATTGTATTGTCAAAATCCGCCCATATTTATGAAACAGAAGTATTCTTCTTTCCAATAAATAGCTTAAAGTTTACATTTTAACTAATTTGTAAAAATACTATATTTTGGGGCCAAACAGGGGTCTTACCGGGTCTACTCCTTTGTTTAATCTATTTTTTTGTAGTCAATAGAAATATCATTTAGTGTTTTACCTTTTGGTAATAAAATTTCCAAACCATAGGTTAATATTGGTAGAATGTGCTTTCTTATAAGAGAGATTGGAGTTTTACTGTCTAAACCATTTTCTCCATGGAGGCCTGTACCCATTAGGCAATACATTCACCGTGTAGAACGCCACATGCGGGTTGTTGGCTATGTTTGACACGGGGTGGCGGTTTTGACGTTTGCACTTTTTTAATGGACATTTGCGCTTTTTCTATGAGGCAATTGCATTTTTTTTAACACGACATTAGAGCTTCATAAACATAACATTTCAGTCATCATGGTTAAAAGTTTAAAAAAATCATGTAATATCAAAAACACACCACATTCATATATTTATATACAGCTTAGTGTTGTCATTTTCTTTCTTTCAGCCATACGTCACTTTTCGTCTCTGGTGTGTAAGTTTTTAGACGAAATTTGAATAATGATACTTATATGATAACTTAACGAACTGAAATTTAAATGTTTTATGTGAAAAATAACGAGTACGGGACAGGGGTATAACACGGAGTCGGCATAAGCCAACCCGAATTATAAATCCTAGCCTCCGTACTTGTATGATCATTTAATCCGAAATTAAGCTTGTCAAATAAACAAAAGCATCGCTTTTGTTGACCAGAGGTGAAATATCGCATTTGCTAATAATACATGCAAAATAGTAAGAAGTATTATTCCCGAGCGTATAATGCAAAAAAAATATGTTTGTTGTGTCCTCTTAAACTTAGTTAGGGCTAATTCGGTCTCTGATGCATAGTTTATCTCATTGGCCATTATAGCCCACATCTTTTTATTTAAGTAAAGTCGTAAATCTTGATTATTTTGTAATCAATTTATGAAGCTGATCGAGACGTAGATTCACTCAGATACCGAGTGTTCTCTTTGCATCTATTTTACAAATGAACCGCTGGAATTCGGCATTTGACAGTTTTTTGACATGCTCTGTTTATATCTAATTCGAAGCATTGTCGAATTATTTCAGCCTAATGGACTTTCATCTTTAGAATTTCCTTTGCATTAAATATCTATGATATATATATATACAATGTATAACCTTTTATATAAATGAGATATAATAGGGACAACTTGGAGTGTATATATGTACCAAATTAATTAAAATATAGATCTCGGATTTCGTTATACTACATACGAGGATCTAACAAGTACCCTACAAGGTTTCACTTTTGTGACCTTATATAACGTAATATTTGACCCCAGAAAGTATTTATATCGACCAATCAGAATGCTCCTTATAAACGCGACCTAGGAACAAGTTGAAGATGGCGACGTAGAAATAGAAAAACAACATAGAAAATGCATTAACTGAAATTTTGCCTTAGTACAAAGTGAAAGAATTGAAATTTGAGAAGAGACAAATTTTGGAAATCAAAGATTGCATGGTCAGGCTTCCAACATGCTTCAAACGGGCTATGGAAAGAGTTTACATACCAGATATCTGCTACCCGATAATCAAGTCTGCATTCAAAGGTAAATTCTCGAAAATAGAGTATTAAAGGTTGACATTTTTCTATCATTGGGCAACTTCTCGAGTGTTTATTAAAAAAATCTTTGTGGAGGATTCACAGTGTACTTTAAAAAAAACATGACAATATCCCAGAAAATACATTGCAAGTCTTCATTCTCCTATAAATTCTCCTACCAAAAAATTATAATTTACAGTCAATGAAGATATGGGATCAGATAAATCTAAATTCATTGGTAATAGTATATAAATCATAATGTCATCTTATTAATGATATTCTACTGTGTACTTGCAAAGATATACATGTATACTTATGCCAGCACATGCAGGAGAAGTTTTAATATCAGCATACTTTTTTTACTTCTGTCACACACTGATACATGTTGATATCATGTGGTGCTCCAGATAATTGTTAGGGGAAATTTTCTGCCAAGAAAGAAATTAATTGTTCACTATTCTTGGACTCAGCAACAGTGGGTCAGAATGGCAATTAGTGTTTCAGTGTTCATTAAATATTAGTTTAATGCTTTGTGAGAAAAATAAGTTCATCCTGTTTATGTACATATAAAAAAGAAGATGTGGTATGATTGCCAATGAGACAACTCTCCACAAGAGACCAAATGACACAGAAATTAACAACTATAGGTCACCGTACAGCCTTCAACAATGAGCAAAGCCCATATCGCACAGTCAGCTATAAAAGG